GGCAGCTAAGAGGCTGCTTCTCAAGCCTGCAGTACGCACCAGGCAACATTGATGCAGCGCAAAGCTGCCCAGGATTCATACGATCGCCCTCCTTTGATCGTCCTTTCGCGGGTCATGTTGCCTTTTCGAGGAAAGACCTGCTTTTCAAAAGCGCTGAACGCGTCAGGGTTTCCGGCAGTTCTGGGCAAAACAGTGCTGTTTCAGAGAACAAGCGAGGTTGTTGCATAGCTGTTGATTTGCAGTTTCCTGCAAAAGTACTGGAGCTCTTGCAGGCCCAAAACTGCCCAAACTCCATGGTGCGTTCACACCTCCATAGCCCCTGGGTGACTGCTTGGCATGTTGTCCAATTGTGCAACCAATTCAATTGTTGAGAGGTTTTCCGGTAAGGGTGTCAGGCTTTTAGATTTTCAGAGCCCAAGCCCCGATTTGAGGGGAATCTATCACTATTGCAGTATGTTTTCTTTCCACGGTCTTCAGCATATGGAGGATGAGTTTGCTTGCATTCCAGGAGAGATGCGCAACGTGCCAAGAAGGACCGCAGGAGCACCATCTAAAGATCCCTTGGAAGGTTGGTTGGGGAATGGTTCCAACCCAACGAAATGGTTTCAACCCCGTTATGCGGGGCTCAAGTCTATGAGCGGTTGTCCGTGTTCTAGCTCTTTCAGCGTCACACTGTCCAACATCTCTGGAGAAACAGATTGTCTGGTTGTTTGCGCAGCTGCGCTTGTTCAACTTCAGCTCTGCTTCGTTCAAAGTTTTTTGTCAGGGTGGGAGAAGTGCGAAGAATACCGAAGAATCCTGCAAGCCCCAGACAGTGAACAAATACGAGGAACACGCTCCAGGATTCAGCGTCACGGACTAAGAGTTTGGCTCGAGCCGATGGGCAATAGCTCCTGGATTAGTAGCCCTCGCCATTCGGACATGCTGTGCCTTGACTGTTTTCAACTTAGGCCTCAGCATGCTCAAATTGAGCCACACGAGCTCGCTTTCCTGATTGGAGAATAAACACGCATCGATTGGTTCAAGAGCTGCTTGCACGTCGGCTGGGCTAACAGCGCATGTGCCAGCCATTCACCTGGCGCAATGACAAAAACAGGAGCAGATCTGCCGGCACTCAGTGATTATCTCAAGTCAGACTTCCAAGCCAGCCCCCTCCCAGCCCCCTTTACCAGCAGCATGCAGCCTGAGGAGGCCTTCTGCAGCCAGAGGCGGGCCTGATGTGCGGAGCGTTGACCACAGAAACTTATGACCGCCTAGTTCCAATGGAAAATCCTGTAGCATCTCGTGCGAGGGGCCCTGCAGAGTTGAGCAAAGGCTTGTGGCACACGCACACAGAAGGTATCGTGTCTGAACTGCTGGGATGATGACAAGGCGTGTCATGTTGCCTTGCTTGGAGCACAGCACGGGGCTGTTGTCAACATCCAGCTTAGCTGCGCCCAGAGCTTCGCGGAAAGTTTGCTTCGGGCCTCCGCACACTTCCAGCCCTACGCCCGCCAGGCTGTGCGCTCAATCCCGCATGCATTTCAGGGGCTGTGTTAGGTGGTAATCGATCCAGACTTGCTCAATTGACAGGGTGCAGACGCTGCTAGGATGGCAGAGCTCCATGACTCTGCCAAAATGAAACCAACCGACGCGTTGCAGCTTTGCGGAGCCTGGCCAACTCGAGGCCGAGACTTATCTCTCGCGTGTTTGACCACTTGCGTCTGAAGCATTGCCTTGCGGCGCCGGCAGCGCCTCACATTCAGGGTAGCAGGCGCTGCTCTAGTCAAGTGGTTCCGGCATCGCCTCAAAACAGCTCAGGGGCTGCGCTTTGGGAGCGCAACGAAACCAGCCACGCAAGCGACTTTGCTGCGTGAGCTCTCGGATGGCAATCCTTCAAGGACGTTGCCATTCGCAGCTGGCAACCGACCTGTGCCCAGAGCTTTGCGAAGTTCCAGCTGCGTGTAGGAGTCAATCTCTGCGGAACCTGCTGGCCAAGCAACTGACAAGGCTTAGGCCCATCGCAGCGTCCCTTTGTGCCTTGACCTAGGCTGCGAACGAGGTTTGCGTTGGCTACCAGCAGTAGCACTAGATGGCATGCCGAGGCGCGTCATGTTGGGTTGACTTGAGCAAAGCACGGAGTCATCGGGCTCCGTCAGCTTGGGTGCGCCCAGATCTCCACGGCAAGTTTCAGCTTCAGACTGCTGGTGTGGTTGGCCGACAGCAATGCTGGCGTGCGCAGGTGTTTTGCATCATTTGAGTTTGATGCGTTGCCCACGCTGTGCTAGCAGGCGTTTGTCCAGCAGGTGGTTCGAGGTTGAACTTGGGAGCTCAACGGTGATGGGCGTGGGCTCTCAGAAGGCAATCCTTTCGACGTTGCCATCCGAAGCAGGTGGTGAAGGCAGCCGACGAAGTCCTAGCTGCACGTAAAAGTCAATCTCTATAAAGCCTGCTGGCCAAGCAGCTCTAGCAAGGCTTCGGCCTAGGTCAGCCCTCACGCATTGTAGCGTCCCAGTGTGTTCTAGGGGTTTGCGCCTTGACTCCGGGAAAAAGGAAGGGGTAGCTGACTGCGCTGTTTTGGCAAGGCATTTTGTGAAGTGGTTCTGCGAAGATTTAGGTTAATCAATAGCACAGTTGCCTGGGAAGTGCTGCGAAAGGTTCTGCAAATTGCTTCTGCGAAGCGAGGCTGCCATTCTGGAGCCGCGGTGTCACGTTCTATGTGATTTGCGTACTTGGTTTGGCGCGGCGTCCAGCGGTGGTGCCCACTTTAGTTTTTTGTTTCATTGATTTAAGCCTGTGAGCTGCTTCGAACGAAGTTTGCGTTGTGTGCCGGGAGTAGCACTAGATTGCAAAATGAGGCGTGTCATGTGGCGTTGACTTGAGCAAAGCACGGAGACGTTGGGATCCGTCAGCTTGGTTCTGCCCAGAGTTTCACGGTTAGCGATGTTCCGTCAGGCTTACGAGGCCCGTCAGAGCCGAAGCTGGTTGCACGAGGTAGGACCCAATCTCTGCGGAGCCTGCTCGCCAAGCAACAAGGCTTAGGCCCATCTCAGCCGCGCGCTGCAGCGTCCCAGTGTATTATCAAGATCTGTGCCTTGACTCGGGGAAAAAGAACGGGGGGAGCTGACTGTGTTCCCGGCAAACAGGTTCTGCGAAGTGTTTTGCCTCGGCGAGGGATGTTGCGAAGTGGTTCTGCAAAGCACTCCTGCGCGGTTCTGCAAAACGCTTCGGCCAAGCGAGGCAGCTGTTCTGGAGACCTGGTGGTTCGAAGTGTTAGGAGTGAATCCTGGCCGTGCAGGGTGCCAGCAGTTTAGGTAGCCCTTGCTTTACGAATGGTTTGGCAGGGCGTGCAGCAATAGTGGGTGTAAAGAGCTTTCATGAGACTTGGTTGTTTCATGAGATGTGGGTGATGGAAGGTTTGGCGAGTGTGCCCCGCAAGCTGGCCTAAGCCAGTGATTATTGCAGGTGCCCATCAACGGTGTTGGACAATTCTCACATGGTTGAAAATGAAAGGTGGTCAGCCGGATGAAACAGGTGCATCAAGGGCGCAAACCCTTACCTTCAAATGCCGCTTCACCCTGGCGCGAGAGGTGTTCTCTCAAGAGCTCCGAAGTTTGCGCTTCAGACTTCTGGTGTGGTTGGCAGACTCAGCAATGCTGGCCTGAACACATCATGTTCGCACTCTTTGAGTCAGCATTGCCTTGCCGCTTCGGTTGGCTTCGCCTCAAGACAGCTCAGAGGTGGCGCTTTGGGTGCGCAACAAAACCAGCCCTGCAAGCGACTGACGGGTTTGGGCCTCAGCGGGCAATCCTTGCGAAGAGCCTTGTGACGTGCCAGCCGCACGTGGTAGGAGTCAATCTCTGTGAAGCCTGGCCAAGCAGCTAACAAGGCTTAGGCTCATCGCAGCCCTCGCGCACGGCAGCGTCCCAGTGTATTCTAGGGATTGAGAAGAAGGACAGGGGACGCCTGACTGTGTACCCAGCAAGCAGGTTCTGCGAACTTTTGTGCTTTGGTGAGGGGTTTTGCGAAGTGCTGCCAAGCGCTTCGACGAAGCCAGGCTGCCATAGTGGAGCCGCGGTTGCGCGTTCTATTCGGCTTTGCAAACTTGGTTTGGCGGGGCGTCCAGCGGTGGTGCCACTTTGACTTTCTTCCCGTTGACCTAAAACCTCTTGGCTTGTAACTGTGTCCTGCTGCTACTTGTCACAGATGATGCCGTGAAAAAACACACAAGCACACAAGAGCAGGATCACAAACACCGGCCCGCGCACACACACACAGACACAAGGCACACTGCGAGCAGCTTTGAAAGCTGGATGTTCAAACAACTCACCCATTTGATGTTTTCCCTCAGCATCAGCCTGCATTAGTGCACAAACCCTGTGGTGGCATGTGTGCCAACTGTTTCGATTGAAAACCCCCGTAGATATGACCAGCTCAGTTGAAACAGCTGGTGAACATGCCACCACAGGGTTTGCGCACTTCTGCAGGCTGAGTTTCCCCAAACAGGCAATTTCCCAACATGGCTCAAGCCGGGGTGAGACTGCGTGGCCGGTTCACGAGCGCCCGCAAACATCACGCGCCAGGACCTCAGTGGCAGGTGGGGCCAAGGCTTACTGACTACACATGCCTTGAATTGTCAGCAAACTGGTTGGTTGATTTTCATGCAAAGCTAAACTCGAGGCGCCCAAGCTATTGACTCAGGACTCCTGGACTAATGAAATGCACAGGTGGCACACCCATGTGTTCCCTCAAATGGGCCAAGCTGTCCCTGCTAATCACGTAGAGCGGGTGAAGAATTGCTTGAAAGGCCTCCAAGCTCTGAAGAGAGCTATCAAGCTCCTCCCAAAACCGGACGTAGTCCTCAATCTCAATGATCTTCATCTTCAGGACTGTGTGGTTGTTGAGCTTGGCCAGCTTCTGGCTCCAAGTTTGCAGTTGCTGGTACGGGTCGAAGGAGCAGAACTCCTGGTAATGTACATCCCGCAATTGCTCACCATGTTGGTAGTGCCGCTGGAGCAGAGTCAAAGCCCAGGTTGCCACCACAGGTGGCGAAGCTCCGGCGGGGGTCCACCATGTTTTTGACGGCAAGCATGGGGACGCTTGCCGCATCCTTGATTGCCCCAGGCACAATCTGCCGCTTCCACAGAAGGCTTTGGGCAAAAGTGGCTCAGCACCTTGTCGCCGCTGCTTTGGTCTGAGATGCACATGAAGAACTTGTGCAGCCCAGGGCGCTTGGACTGCATCTGGATGGAGGCGGGGTCGAAGGCAAGGTGAACTTCTCGAACAAGCAGGCGATAGTCGGGGTCAGCCAGGATCTGCCGGGTCTGGTTGGTGGCCTCGATGGTCGCCGCCTCGTTGTACTCATGCCCCCACGCTCCGCAATTCGGAGCAGCCACCAACACGCAGCTTGTCTCAGGGCTGGATGCAATCTGTGCTGCGTACTCCTTGACTGCAGCTTGCATGCCAGCCTGCGCGTCATACCCAAGGACAGTGCAGTTGCACCAGTACACTTTGTACACTGGGTCCATGGGGAGGCCCTGGTCATTGCAAAACTTGTTGATGGCAGCCTCTGAGAAGGTCCCACCATGAGAGACGTCCCCCAAGTCACGCAGCGGGAAAAAGGTGTCCGCGTAGCGCTCGATGGCCTTGCGCTGCCCCTGTCGCTCCTTGTCCAGCTGCTCCTGCTGCAGGCCCAGGCCCTGAAGCTTGAATTCTTCAAGCTTTGCCTGGAACGTCTCCCAATAAGACTGCTCCTTTGCAAGCCTGGCCTTGGCTCTTGCCAGCTCCGCTTTCTCCAGGTCTGAGTTGGCCTTGGCCTCCATGTCATCCTTGCACTCCGGATCCAGCGCACCCTGACAGACAGTGCTCAAAAAATGAATGCATGACTCTGATAAACAAAGCTTTTTTGCTTACTTTTGGCCCCCTGCCTGAAAGCCAACGTCAGCCAGAAATCGAAACTGCACAGCAGTGAGCTTTGGGTTCATCATGCGGTGCTTCTCAGTGAGCTCTGTGTCGAGATCGCCGCGGCAGAACCTCTCCTGCAAGCGGGCCACAGCCTTGTCTGTGAGGAGGTGCTGCCACTCACCCAGGAAGTGGGAAAAGATGGCAGCGATCGCCCAAGCAGTCTCGCCATCTTTTTGATCGCGGAAGCTGGAGGCCCCAAGGCTCAAGTTCACCTTCTTCTTGAGCCTCTTGGCGTCTGCAACTTTGAAGAGAAAGTACCGCACCTTGCGCTTGACATACCGATGCCTCTTCCGGTTGTCAACAGCCAGGATGTTGCGCCAGAGCTCGGAGTCCTGGTTCGTCTTGGGCTTCAAGCCGTTGAAGAAGGCATCTGCAGCCAGCACCTTGTATGGGAGAGCGCTATTTCTGATCAAGTTGGTCTGCCAGTGGTAGTCTATGGCTTGGAACGTGTCGGCGTCCAGCAGGGGCAGCGTCTTCACTATGCTGATTTCCATGTCAGTGAGCTGTTTCACCTCGTTCTCGGAGCTGCTGTTGAACTCAGCCACCAGCTTCGGTGCAGCCTCTGCCCAGTCCATTCCATCCGCGCGCGCCTGGACCAGCAGGAGGTTGGAGACCTGGATGCAGTCAGGCCGGGGACGCGCAGACTCGGCAAACTTGTCCTGCAAGCACGCGAAGCGATCCTGCCGCTCCTGCCCTGCGGTCTTGTAAGTGCAACGGAAGCCATACAAAGCTTTAACTTGGGGGCTCAAGGCTTTGAGCTCATCGTCGCTGAGCTCCAGGTGGTTCACCCCCAGGAGCAAGATCTTCATTGCCAAGCTCTTCGCAAAGCCAATGCCATGGCCAACCATGAAGTCCTGCAGGGCCCCCCCCTCCACATGGATGCTCTTGGGGAAGGTGACATGGATGGGGTTTTCGATGGAGTTGTACGGTTTCTCAAGGAAGTCGCGCACACACCGGAGCACGTGCACCATCTTGGACTTACCCTTGAGGGAGAGGGCAGGGTCAAAGCTGAGGTGCCATGGGTTCAGGAAGAGCTCAACAGTCTCGTTCGGACTTGGCACTGCTGGAACTGTGGTCTCAGCTGCTCTGCGAGAAAACTGGAAGCTTGGGTCAACCTTCTCCAGCCGTGTCTTGACTCCCTCAAAGATGGCCTTGAGCTCCGCGCGGTCTTGGTCAAAATTGGTGGCCAGGTAGTCACCTCAGGTCAGTTACATGGCTGCCAAGGACAGCGCGTGCAAGTGATGGCCAGAAAAGCTTGCAAGACAAGGTGTGCCGGTCACTCACTCCGAGTTGCAGATCTCGACAGCGTCTGGCTGCTCTGGATCCCCAGTGCCTCCAAAGGTGTCCTCCAGCCATGCCTCGAACTTGGTCAAAATGCCTTTGACGGCTGAAGGCATTCCAGCAGCCTACTCGGAGCCCCTCAGGACTCAGGACTCTGAACTTGGCTTGAGCATTCAAATTGCATTCGCAGTGCAAAGTCAGAATGGTAAAAAAAAAGCAAGTGATCTAGAAATGAGAAAATGAAAACAGAGCGTTAGAGGGTATGTTGTATAGGGATCGAGAAATGGCGCTAACCTAGTAGGTTAGTGCCATTTCTCTAGTGTACGGTATCATGTGCTGCCATTTGTTAACTGCCGATAGCCGAAGAAATAGAAATGGCAGCACCTGATGCCGTACACTTGAGAAATGGCACTAACCTACTAGGTTAGTGCCATTTCTCGATCCCTATACAACATACCCTCTAGAAATGGCTCTAACGTTCTGTTTTCATTTTCTCATTTCACCATTTGCTTTTTGGGGCGGTGGTTCAGAAATCTGTGATTCTTAAATGCACTCAAATGCACTCAATGTTGACTGGCTTGCAATGCGGTGCAACCACTCCCTTGCCAGGCGCACATGCCCCTGCTCAGAACCACTTTTGGATGGGCCTGCGCCAAGGTCGGACATCCGGGACACGCACAGCCTGCCGGCGAGTGCCCGAGGCATTGTGAGGGGGAAGGGGGTAGAGCAGCTAGTAAAGCAGCTTTCCACAGAAGACGGCGCCTCAATAATTTTGAACTCAGTTGTTGATGAGGCAGCCACCGAAAGCCTGTCTATTCTTATTGAGTTGGTGTAGGTTCAATGATGCATTGAAGGGTGAAGCGCCACCTTGCTCAAGTGCGGCCTGTGTTGCAAGCAGAATTATAGCTGCCAAAATGCGAAAATGATATCATCTAGCTTGAAGCTTTATCCCGAGTGAGCCGGTCCTTTCAGGAAACTGACAGCTTTTGGAAGACCTGGTGTGCATCAGTAACGAAAATATTCAACCAACTGTTCAGGTGAAAGCTTGAAACCAGTGATGGGTTGAAGGCCGAATGTGCAGCGGGGGTTCACTGCTTCAGTGGGGATGCGCACGGGCTGTCTGATCTACAAAGCAACGTTGGGTTTTGGTTAGACCCTTCAGAGGCCTAGGGAAACACACATTTGTCATTTGGACATGGTAAGGGTTCTCTATTTGGAAGTCGTGCTGTTACGCACATCGTTTTTCCAAATAGACACCCTTACCATCTCCAACTGACAACTTGTGGATGTTTCCATTGAAAAGGGGCGTGTCTAAAACCAACAATTCTTTCCATACCCTTGCCTTTGGCTTGCTGAACCCTAAGCTTAAAAGAGGGCTGCCGTCTAAACCCAACAAGTTTGTTTATACAATTTTGGCTGTCCATAGTTCTGAGCCCCACAATGTACCTTGACACTCGAAACGGTAAAATAAATAGCTCGCGGTCTAAAACCGACATCCTTGTGCTGGAGCTGCTTCAAACCAAACCTTTGCAGCACACAAGAACCATTAACATAGAGATGACTACACTTCAGCTCACCTGTGTTTTTTTTAAACGGGGCACAAGAGACCTGGGAATGATTCCCGTCCAACTACATTCCCTTCCAATCTCCTTTGCCCGTGGCCCAGCGCCCAGACGCCTGCCTTGCCCAAGCTCCACAGCCTCAAGGCACCTGATGAGTGCCCAAAGAAGCTGTTCAAAACGCCATGGTTTCGATGTTAGCTGCGCGCAACGAGTTGCACACTGCCGGGCTGAAACAAACTTGCACACACCTAACCTAATCTAGCAGTCCTGTCATCACATGCTTCACCAACCTCAAACTGCTGGCTTCTCACGCATTACCGCGTTTTTCCATTTCTGCAACGGGTCGGTGGTTGGTGAAAAAGTCTTGGAACTCTGGACTCAGAAGTCTGTTTTGTTAACTTGCAAGTGTGATGTGTCCTGTTGAGAGTTGATTGAAAGCCAGGTGGGTACCCACAGAGTCCCAAGCACATGCTGTAGAATCAAAAGCTATGCCCCAAATTGGGCTGCCTGAGTAAAAAAAGAAACGCAGCGCGCACTCCAGCCCTGCTCGCCGCAACGAAGCTCGCCAGTGTCCACTCCGTGAGCGGTGCATCCGCATGCGCACCTCCAGGGTGACATCCACAGTCGCAGTGTCGGACGAAGAGGGTGAGCGCCTCGCACGGCGGCGGCGCCGCCTGCTCCGGGAGCGGTGTGCACCACGGGGCTTGGGGGCAGCAGCTTTGCACTTGTCACTTTTTGTCTTTTCTCCACTCTTTCTTTCAGCTGGCCCTTTTGGTTTCCCTGACTCTGCTGCCAGTGGGCCCCCCTCGTTCGAAAGCGGTGGCTCACCAGTCACCCCGTCTGCTGGACTTGTGACAACGTCCGAGTCAGAGGCGACAGGAGTAGGAGAGGCTGCAGGCTCCACAAGGTCTGAGGGTCTGGGCTGCGGCAGCTGTGTGGACTGCGATGGGAGTGCTGGCTCTGGGGTCACAGGCTGTGGGACTGCTGCCTGTGTGGCCACTAGCTCTGTGGATTGCTGCGCTGCCGGGGCGGGCTCTGTGCGCAGTGCAACTTCCGGCTCTGGCACTTGGACTCCGCACTCTTGGGATCCGGACTTGTGGACTCCGGACTTTTGGACTCCGGCTCTGACTGGGCCTGGAGGGACAAACGTTGCTGCCTTGCACTCACTTGTCAGGCGCTCAACATCTTCAGGCCGGACAGCGCCAGCCTTCAAGGCTGGTGGGGCTGGGCGTGGGCATGAGAAGCCACCAGCTTTAGGTGTCATGCAGTCCATGGAGGCCGGAGCTTAGGGTCACTGAGCAAAACAGCTTTTTGACACGGGAGGTGCTTGCAGCCTTTTAGGCTTCTGAGTCCTGAGTCTCTTGAGTGTCTGCACCATGGCCCGCAAAAAGAACATGAACAAGGTGGCCATCTACACCCGAACGTCATCCAAGACAAACATGAAGGGAGACAGCTCACGTAGACAAATCCAAGCCGGCCTTGCAGCGCTGAAGTCCTCAGGCGTGAAGCCGTCCAAGAGCCTCCAGAAGGTGACAGAATGCATTTCCGGGATGCTGCCCTTGAACAAGAAGAAAAAGCTCCAGGCCTTGCTTGACGGGAAAACGAGCCATATTTTCGTGGAGAGCTTGCGTGCTTTGGGGCGCAAAGCAAGTGGCATTGAGGAAATCTATGAGAAGGCGAAGGAAACCAACACATGCATCGTTGTGGCCGACCTGCCGCCAGCCCTTTTCACTGCAAGCGCCAGCCCTGCAGAGAATTTCAGCGTCGGATCATGGCAGCTGTTCAAGAGTTTGAAAGGGACACAATTGTCAACCGTTTGCAACAAGGTCTTCGGGCGAAGGCAGAGCAGCTGGCCAAAGCAGGCATGAACCCAAACAAGGTGAATGGCAGGAAGTCGCACTTGGAAAAGCGCATGGCTCAAAAGGGCGTCACCAAAGGCCAGTTGAAGTCCCTTTCTACCTTGTGCCGTGCCCGCAAAAGGGGTGACTTTGGATGGCGCGCCTTGGCCCCGAAGCTGTCCAAGATCTTGAAGTTGAAGAAGCCTATGGGGAAGGATGCGGCTATGACACTCTCCAAAGAGTTGAAGATTGCTTGAGTTGCTTCAGAGTCCTGCAGAGTCCTGACATTTAGCTACGTCATGAGTTAGTTGTACATTAAGTTGGTAGGAACAAGTTGTCAATGCAACGTAGCAGGACCACTGCACGATGTGAAAACAATGCATTTCACTTCGCGGCTTGCTACGCATCAAGACCAATACAGCCAACTGACAAAGAAGAGCGGTGATAAAAATGAACTTCTTGGCACTTGGCAACATGTTTTTTCCCATGCCCAGACTCGGAACTGCAGGCCTCAGGACTCTGAGCTTATTTGAATGGATTTATTCTTGGCAAGGCTTTGCCAAAATGGTGCACTGACTAGCACGCTGCACAGGCTCAGCAGCCACGAAGGCTATCTACACAAAACAGCGCCGGACTAAGTGCAAAGGGCCCGGACCATGGGGGCGAGAGTTGCTGGGTGGGGCTCTACCCCGTGCTTTTTGAAAAAGGCTTTTGCCACCCGCCACCATTTCTCAACTTTGAAGTTGTCGAAGTCAGACTCCTGAAATGCCGGGTCCAGGCACACGCATGCCAAATAGGACACAGCAGTGGGCCCGGCGGCGGCGCCCAAATACTCGCAAAATGAGTAAGGGGTGATCTTCCGGTGCCCCTGATCCAGCATTTTGGCACGCACCTTCTTCAGATTGTCCTCAGGCGAGCGATCAGGGCTGCAGAGTGACTGAACTACTTCCCCTGAACAAACTTGTCAAGGAAAGCGCTTTGTAAAATCACGTGCGATGCAGTCTCCTGCCTTGACATCAGGGTTCACACGCAAAAAGGCATTGAGGGTCATGTTGCCTAGCTCAATCTTCACGCCCGCCAAGGTCGCACGATCCTCTAAAAAAGCTTTGAGGGTGGCCCTGAAATGATAGTTGCCTCCGTCAGCCCGCCAAAATGGGGGCTTCCAGCCCAAGCGCTGCACAGCAGTTTGCGCCTTCTTCACCTGTCAGGGGGACGTTGGAATGCAAACTCATGGGGAACTGGAGGTAAAGATCACCAACATGACACACACGTTGCTGAACTGGCTGGCAGACTGCTTGGTTTTTCGAGAGCTTTTGGAAACCACGTTGAAGCGCTGAAGCCATGCCTTGGTGTAAACCTCTTTGAGTGTGCGAGGGGGCTGCTGGCCAACGCCCTCTACAACTGCATCCACCGCACGAAGAAAGGCTTTCAGCTTTGCAGGACACCAGCGCCCAACAAAGCACCAGGCCGGCCCACCATTCTCCCTGTGCCCTTGGACAAAGTACAAGGCTTTCTTTTCCGGGCGGACCTTGCCCCGAATCTTGCGGATGACCCCCAATGTTTTGAGCGTCATAACCTTGGGTCAAATCAAGGAGCGCAGCCATGCTGTCAAACGCCAAAAACAAATCAGAACAGGAGCACGTGGTCCCGAAGCCTTGCTAAATCAAGCCGACTGACTGGCCCTGCGCACCGCAACTGGTTGTGGACAGCGTTGGCCTGCCAGGCAGCACTCACTGGCTGCTTGGCAATTGCCACAGCGCAATCCTCCAGGCAGCGGCGGATGAGATTGATTCGGGACTCTGATTTCCGGGCTCTGCGTGCCCACGAATTGGTCAAGGCTTCCTTCCACGGGGTCATGCGCAACTGCAGGCTCAAGAAATGAAGTGCTGGGTCGGATCGAAACATTTGTCGTCCCAACTTCGTGCGGGCGTGCTGCTCCCTAGCGTGGACATCTGCTGGAAACCACCGCCTGGCCCCCTTGAAGGTGTACTTTGAAAGGCACCTGACTCTGTTGACCAGCCCCGCGGTGCTGCATGGCCGTGCTGCACCTGGTTTTTTTCCATGCTTCGCAACCAGCGCCTGGCCTTTGGCTGTTGCACGCAGGGCCTTGAGTGCGTCAGTCGCCGTTGGAAACGTTTTTCCAAGCGGGACAAGGGGGCAGTACCAGCCTCGGTTCACATGGCGGTACAAGTACCTGACCGGCACTTTTCCCGCCATAGCAGGCTGGTGTGCACTCAGGACTCTGGACTCTACAGGTGGTGTAGCGCTTGGAAAGAAAGCTAGGTTCCAACTTGAAGCTTGCCAGGGTTTACACGCTACGTGCGCACACCGCCACACAGCGGCCCTTGAGAAAACGTTCATATCGAGCACCGCAGTTCCCACACACAAGCAGGCAGTGGGGGCCCACTGAGCTCCAATTGCTCAGCAAAACAATTTCCCCGAGAATAGGTCAACCTGCAAAGCATTTGGTACTTGGGCGTTTGAAGATCCGAGGGTTTGAGGGCTTTGTGCAATCAACCCAGCCATGATGTTGAAACTTCCCCACATGTGGGATTCAGTTTTCAAACTACCAAATCATATTTTACCATGATATACCTTGAGCTCAATGACATGCGTTTTCTTTGGGAACAACATGTGCCAGGCCCGGTGGCATTGTGAGCCCCCACCCCCCCACCCCCCACGAAACCAATTGGGTCAGTCTTACTGTAAAAATATTTGGTTGTTTACTGCTTTGTGCGTTTCGTGCAAACACAATGTTCTGAAGCCGGCCATGAGTCCGTGGTAGCGGTATAGTTGCAACCCGAATCATAAGTCTAGAAAAGAATAACAAAGTTTAAAGCACAGACTCATGAGCCGGTTCTCCACAACATTGCGCTTGCAGAAACGCAAAGGCATGACAATGAACCAGCTGTGTTTAATAAAGATCCACGTTGGCAACCTGACCCCGACAGCTCCTGTCTAAAACCGACAACCTACCTAGCCTGGGCCCAACTCCCCAGTCGCCTGCCCAAGGTCAGGGCTCGGTCGTCGTGATGCGGCTCCTTGCCGCGGATGAGCTCCCTGTCCACCAGTTCCAGGTACAGCGCCTTCGCAGCCCCACCCTCCTCGCAATAGAGCCCGCGGTGGTATCGGAAGCGCCCGATCCCATGCAGATCAGGGGCGTCGGCTGGCATAACCGAAATGACCTGAAAATGCTTGTGCCCCGGCACGTCAGCTCTGCGGACCCAGTCCAGGACAATCTGGCCACCGCCCGGCTTCCGGGTCCTGACGGCGACGGTCACACAAACTATTTAAAAAAAGCAAGTCAGTCTTGTTTGATTTGCAACAAAAAGGGTACCTACAAACTCTCAATGCGGGAGCTCTTTGGAGCAGTCTGCCCAATTTCAAACGCCAAGGAAAAGGAACATGTTACAAGACGCGGCCAAGTGACATGCAGTAGGCATAGTGGCTCTTCCCCTGCAAGTACCAGGACCTATTGGTGGAATCGTCAAAGAACATCGAGTCCCCCCCGGCTGGCGGCTGTCCAGAGATCACCCTGAAGGGAGAGTGGCGCTGGACCTCAGGACTCAGGACTCGGAGATCCACGTTGTCCGGGAGAATCGGCAAGCCCTGCTTGTCAGGGAAGAGTGTGTTGAGAATCTGCGTGTTCATCTGCACCAGCGACTGCGAGGGAATGCTCATGCCAACCGGGATGCGGAGCGTGGGAGCACGCCAAAGCCCAGCCTGCATCAGCAGGTCCTTGACACCATCCACAATGTCCTTGGTGTGCCCAAAGAAGGGGTACCTGCGGCGGAGCTCGCTTTGGCTTTGGAAGGGCAAGAGCAAAGTAACGAACTCACCAAACAAACTGACAGTGAGAAGAAACTGAACAAATATGACCAACAAATGGTGCAAGGAGACTTGCCACAGGTAGCTGAGGAGCTCTTGGTAGGTGAGGCCAGGAACCTTTGCCATGAGGAACGGCGGTTGGTCCTGCGAAAAGATGTGGTAATACAGCTCGTGCCCCATGAGGCGCGCCCAGCCCAGGAGAGGGCCATGCGGGACTATGCCACGACCAAGGTGCCGGCACCAAGCACTGGTCACTTGCATGTCATACTGCGACTGCTCTGAAAGCTTCATGAAGTCCCCATTCTTCTCCATCAGGGCCAGCTGCTCCGCAAGCATCTTCACAAGGCGGGCTGTCTCGGGGTCCACCTCCACCTGCGGCCAGAGCGTCTCCGGGTAATAATTCATGGTGCGATGTACCCCAACTCCTTCTGGGGATGCCCGCTGCCTGGCCAGCCCGGAAGGGGGTCGCCCTGCACCAGCTTCTTCTCGATCTCCGCCACCGCCATCGTGGTCATGTCAAGGTCCGTGCCAGCAGAGTCCAAAGTGGGGCCTGCTCCGGCAAGGGCAGCCATCTTGCCAGCAGCACCTGCGCGGATCACCTGGAGTTTGTTGGTGGAGAGCTCTGGCCCGCCTTGGGCAGGCTCACGCACGTAGGCGGGCTCAGAAGGAAGAGCAGGGCTGGAAGCAACGGCCGGGGAGGCAGTGGAGGGCGGGTGCTCCGCCTTCTCCTCCACTTCATCCCTCTGGACTCCGGACTCTGGACTCGGTCCTCCGGACTCTCTTGGGCTCTGCTCGCCCACCGTGGGCTGCTTGCCCGCACTGGGCTTCTGTGACTCTGAGTGTCCGCAGCCCGCAGCAGGCGTGGAGCTCTCCGCATCAGTGGAGCCACCTCTAACCGAAAGCTTGAGGGTCTTCCCCTCTTGCAGAGGCTGCCCTGTTGATAGCGGGTTGCTCGAAGGGCTGAAGCGCAGCGTCAAGCCACTGGGGAAGTCGACAAACATCTCCTTGCCGGTGTGCTTGGAGCTGGCCATGCTGAGGACCTCAGAGCTTGGCCCGCAGATGGCCCACTCGAACTCGCCTGGCAGTGGGGCGGGTCCAAGGGGCTAGGAAAAGCATCAAGAAACCACAAACTTTTGCAACACAAACAAGCACACATATGTTGGAAAAAACTGCACTTGCTCGAGGCGCTGAGGCCTGTTTCCGGGAGCTGCACCACACTGGGTTTGCAGCCCTGGCCACTGATCACTGAGACGGCTGTCCAGTGGTCCTGCTGCTTGAGCGCGAGCAGCACGGTCTCACAGAGAAAGGCGTCTCTTGGGGTGCCCTTCTGCACTGTGAGATCCAGCTTGCCGATTTGGTTGCCCATGGCTGGCACTGACAAGCTGAGGGACCCTGGACTCCGCACTCAGAGGCTGTGTCTGCTCTAGGGCCACATGGCAATTTCAATCATAGCATGTCAACATTTGCAAGCCCTGTGGAAGCAACAACTTCATGCTGAACGCCCTACTAAACCTATTGCAACACCACACCCATTTGGGTTTCAAGGGCCCTTTAAGCAACATGATGGTGCCCCCGCAACGGTTTTCAGCAGCACTTTTGCTGCGGCCTTGAGCTTCAAAGAGGGGCCTGGAAAACCTAGGTTTCCCAGACGTCTTGTCAGATTTCCAGACGGGGGCCCCCTATTTCCAGACAGCCCTGCAAGCACGACCGCTGCCAGGCGCCCAGCTCGGAACTCCGGACTCTGGATGGGGGTGCGGTCAGGCCTTGGACGGTCAGGTGGGTGTGCCCACTGCGAATTGCCATTTAGCCGGGGGTGGGTAAGGGTCTAACATAAACTAGCCAAAAAGTCGCTGCGGGTATTTATTTCCTGGCAAGGAAAGTCAAAGTTTGGACATGTTAAGGATTCCCTATTTGGAAAAGCGCTTTTCCAAATAGGCATCCTTATCATCTCCAACTTGCTTTCCTTGCGCGGGCCCACAATCAACATAACACCCTTCTGTGCCCTGCCCTTAAAGGATTGTTTAGCCTTGACTTGCCTGCAATCCTGTCTGAAATCAACAACTTTTCTCCACCGTAAAAGGTCCATGGCTTAGAGTTAGTGAGCCCCGGCCCTCTTTGTTTGTGCCAGGGCCTGAACTTGGATTCCGGCCGGCTGGCCAGGACCTAAGCGACTTCCGATCAGCTAGCCAGCAAGTTTGTGGCTACGCCGTCCGTGCCCGGGTGACCTGAACAAATAAATTAGCCCGCTGGCTCGCAGCAGCCTCGGTCCAAGGGGCCAAACGCAGTGCTAAACGCTAAATCCAGTACTACGCGGCGAGCTGCGCGAAAAGTGTTGGGGAGCGAAGCGCCCCGCGTAGCGTGCGAAAACGCGTGCGAGCGCGCGCGTGCGTGCGTAGGTAATATATATATATATATATAATAATATTTCGTCACTCGTCGTCAGCACAAGTTGCGACAGTTGCGCAAGACGCGTGGAGTAGTAGCCACCATCCTTGCAAATGCATTGCCCGTCCTCCCAGACACAGCCCCGGGCAGCCCGTGACACTTGGCCTGCTACTTCCTTGGGAACTAGTGTGGGCTACATGGAACTCAGTGAAGAAAGTGCACTGACTTGCCCTTGCGAAGCACATACCGGCTGAGCCAAATCAAATGGTGTTTGAATTTGCAAGGGTTTTGCGTTGGCAAGGGCATGTGTATGTGCAGCCTGGCAATCAGACCTGAAGGCCCCCTGCGTGCCCCGAAAACCCTGCCCATTTGAAAGGATGCGCGCCTTGAAGCTTTGTTGCACCCGTGTTTACTTGACTTGTGCAGGGGCACCTCCAAAATCAATTCAGTCCGGTCCAGGGTGCAAGTTGGTCGACAACTGGCAACACGGCTTGAAAAACACGATCGGCCCTGCCCGAGTGAGGCCCCCGCTGCGGAAGAGAAGCCAATTGGCTTTGCGGGCAAGCCCGCTCCTCCCTTCACAGCAGCCGAGGTTCTTGAACCAAAGACTCCGGTAGAAGTAGGCCACCCCTATGGTTCCATGTTCATCAGCCATTTCGATTCAGTCTGTATGTCCACCGAAAAGGATGATGCACATGGAATCATAGAGGTTGCGCACTTCTGCGCGGACAATCTCGTGCCAAACGAGCGGGCAAGTGGCCAGCGCCCGTTGTGGCGGAAAAATGCGGGCTCGTCAAGAGTGTGTCTGTGTGTGTGTGTGTACGTGTGTGTGGACGTGTGACTGTGGTCTTGTGTGTTTTTCATGGCATCATCTGTGACAAGTAGCAGCAGGACACAGTTACAAGCCAGAAAAACCAAGCTACCAGAATCAAAAACCAAACTACCAGAATCAAAGAACAGAGGTTCTAAGCTGCTTGGAACGAGGTTTGCAGTTGGTGTCATGAGTAGCACTAGATGGTATGATGAGGCGCGTCGCGTTGACTTTGCTTGCTGGGCTGTGTCAGCTTGGTTGCGTCCAGAGCTTCATGGTCAGAATGCTGTGAGGTTTGCGAAGTTCCAGCTGCGCGTGGTGGGAGGCAGGTGTACGTGTCTTTTGAGCTTGCTGCGCAGCCAGGATCGTAAGAGGTTGGACTGACCGGCTAAAGTTGGTAGGGGGGAGGCGCTCGGATGGCAACACGCGCTTGCGATTTGGAAGTGGCGAACCATTGCCAGAGCTTTGCGAAGTTCCTGTCAGCTTGTTGCAAAGCTACGGCTGAGACTCTCGGCGCTCGCGCGGGCAAAAGCTCACGCCGTCGCGAGCTGGACGATTTGCAACATCCATGATGAAGGTTTCTTTCATCCAGATCTTGCTTTTTCCCCTCGGTGCAATTTCATTAATTTGTCCAGGCAGCATCCCGCGCTTTGTGCCTTGGGAGTACCATCATGCTGGTCTGACCTGAGCAACGCACCCAGATGTTGGACAAAACCAGCCGGGCTGAGTCAGCTTGGAAATGCCCACAGCTCCATGGCAAGCTTGGACGCAACGGTTGCATGGTTATCGGCATTCAGGCGGACGCATGGACCTTCTTCCTTTGGAAGAGTCCCAACTTCGCCCAAGGGCTACGCTGGTCCCGTTCCAATCTGCTAGGGTAGACAGCGTACTTTGAGCCCCGCTGGCCTCCCACGCTCACACCTGCTGGGTTGGGTCCTCTTGTGTGTCCCGCAGCTTCAGCCTATTGGCCCTGCTCAGAAGCTATGAAGAGGGTGCTTCTCAAACCTGCAGCACGCACCGGGCAACAGTGATGCAGCACAAACTAAGATTCATACGATCGCCCTCCTTTCGCTGTCCTTTCACGGGACTCATGCTTCCTTTCGCAGAAAGACGTGCTTTTCAAAAGCACTTCAACTGTCGGGAGTGTTTCAGAAGGACCCTAGCCGTGGATCCCTAAACAGGTCAGGGTTGCCGGCAGTTCTGGGCAAAACAGTGTTGTTTCAAAGAACGAGCAAGGTTGTTAAGGTTGTTGCGTAGCTGTTGATTTGTATAAACCTGCAAGAGCACTTCAGCGCCCAAAACTGCCCAAACTTGCCGGGGCCGTTTTGGGCGCCTCAAATCTGCCCATTTAAGCCCGTTGTCGCCTGAAATGTGCTTTGCATTGTTTATGTGATTGCCCGAATATGCCTGAACTTGCCTCGGCTTTGCGTTCACACCTCCACAGCCCCTTGGCGACTGCATGGCTTTTTGCCTCAATCGCGCACTCCCAATTTTTGAGATTCAGATTCAACAGTCGCCCGGTGCCGCCGCAAACTTGTCCTGGGACGGACCCCGTTTGCGCGACCCGCCGTTAAGGGCTGCCAGGGTGGTTTGTCAGACTTTCGGATTTTCAGAGCCCAGGCCCCGCGTGCTCAGAGCTTGCAGGCAAATCAGCCAGTCAGCTTGGTTCTCAGCAGAATCTGAAGAGGTGGCTTGCTGCCAACTAGATGCGTCGGCCCATGAAATAGAGACCTAACCGGCTTGAGCGTAGCTTAAGCCGAGGCTCCAGAGCGGCCTGGGCTTCATGATACGTACTCTCTCGGGTTTTTCGGGAGTGGATGCTGCTCGGTCCCACTCTGCATAGTGATCCCTCCTTCCCCATACCCATCCCTTCCTCCCCTTGGCCCACGTGCCGCTGAAGGCTGTCTGTCATTGAAGTTTCAGTTGCCCCAGCCTGTCCTCTTCTTCCTCAGGGTGACCGGGAGGATCGCATGAGAGAATTGAGACCTTGCATAGGTTTCCCAGCCCGGCGTCGGAGATGCCACAAGCGTCAGCGAAGGTTGCAGTTATGGCATTGACAACACGTGGTTTATTCTTCCATTCGGCTAAACCAACGGAAGCACCTTGTTGCCGACTACCGCCTCGCCGCGCTTTAAACACG